GCAATGAAATACAGGTGTCTTTTCCATTATCTGTGCCACTGACCAGAGTTAAACATCACAATTGTCTCTTGGGTATCTTTTTGTGAAAACTCCCAATGTACATCACATATCAGCGTCTGTCTAATTGTTGGGTGACACTTCCTAGGGAGACACATGTCTACTCAATCCAAATAGAGCACCGATGACAGACCAAAATTCGGATACCACCAAAGTCGAATTTGGTGAGCCAGTGGGTATATAGGGATTACTTACTTACAGGGTTATGGGAGAAGGATTTCTTATAAGAGTGACTCAAAGGAATTTGCACGACTAAAAGCTTACCTCAATGTAAAATGAAAAATAAATTTTTTAATTAAAAAAATAAAAATAGAAGCTTACCCCAAAGTGGATGACGTCTTGTGAATTAAATCCATGTTCATGTCTCTGTTTTTGTTTCTCTTTCTTTTGTAGTTTTCTTCTTGCTCATCAATTGACAAACTACACCTGTTTTCTAGAGTTACTGTCTTCAGTTTGTCTTGCGTCTCCAATCTGAGCCAGAGCATCCAAAACGGACCAAACTTGGATTCATCTGGGTCAACAAGATGCTGGCCAGCAGCTGTAGACTCGGCAGCGGGAAGTAGACAGTGCTGCCTCCCAGGAGCATTGACTCAGGAGGAAAGGAAGCAGAAGTCTAGCTTGCTGTCTGCAAAGCTAAGGGTGCAGCGATGCTGAAGGATGCTTCAGTGCTGGGCAGGAAGGGCGAGGACACACGATTTCCATTCCAAGGTGATCCAGGTCCCATGACGGTCTCTCTTGGCACACTGTCTGGCAGACCTGGGCTATCAAGTGAATGTTTCAATAGCCACAGCAAAGAAAACCTACTGGCTTCTTCTTTTCTCGGAGTTTATTATTTCTCTCATGGATATTTGGCTCCAGGTTTCCTGGCCCTACTTTAGCTTGGCCAGACAACCAAATACTGCTGACTAAATCTGTGCCCTCTGTGTGTAAGGAAGGGTCTAGCTCTCTGTTCGCTTTCCGCTGCTGTGACAAGTACCTGACACACAACTTGAAAGGATGAAAGAAAGGTCTGTGTTGGCTCACAGTTTCAGAGGCCTCAGTTCATGGCCACTTGACCCCACCACTGCTGTGACCAAACATCATTGGGGGAGGAGCTTGTGGAGCACGGATGCTCACCTCATGGTGTCTGGGAAGTAGAGAGGGCTGGGGGAGGAAGTGGCTTCCTTGAATACCAGTTGCCCTAGAGAGGAAAGTTTACTCAGTGGGGAGCAATTAAAAGGCTATATGTTCTTTTAGGTTTGCTTGTTTGGTTGGTTGGTTTTTGGTTTTTCGAGACAGGGTTTCTCTGTATTGTTTTAGAGGCTGTCCTGGAACTCGCTCTGTAGACCAGGCTGGCCTTGAACTCTCAGAGATTCGCCCGTCTCTGCCTCCCGAGTGCTGGAATTAAAGGCATACACCACCAACGCCAGGCTTATATGTTCTTTTAAAAATATATCTTTGGGTAGAAAAAAAAATGCCAGAAGTAAAAGAGGAACCTGAAAATCAGGAGCTAACACCACCCCCACCTGATCTCCCACCACACACACACACACACACACACACACACACACACACACACACACTTTGTTCTTTTACTTTTGTTGTAAATATTTTTTCTTATCTCTATGCTTCTTTGTGGGTTGCTTCTTTCCTGTTTGCTCTACTGTTGCCTAGCAACCATGGGCCCAAAGAGTCAGCTTGATGCTGATCAGGGCCATGGCAGAGGTAGAGATTTGGGTTTTGAGAACTAAATTCCTCCACTTAGCACCTCCCTGCATGAGCTGGGCATCTTGCTTGTATGAAACTGGGAAAGTACAGACTGTCACCTTCGTCTTTTTCTAGAATGCTGTGGTGAGAGCTACATGAAGGAAGCAGCTGAGACTGGAGATCTCAACCAGGCCTGACTTCTCTGCCCTGAACAGAAGACAGCTCCCAAGAAATCAGCTATCCCACAATGGCAGGCGGCACTGAGCACCACCAATGGAAGGATCCAATTCATTACCATGTTCAGGTTAACTCCATGAGCAACCTCTTCCCTATCCCCAGACAGAGTGGAGAGAGGTGGTACCCATGCATATGCAAAAACAGAATTGTATAATGCATCCTTCAAAGGTGTAATCAAGGTAGGTGTTTTCAACTGAAGGAAGGCTATTCAGAGTTATTGACAAGCATGCACAGTCTTCATTTCAAGAGCCCATAGAGTCATCTAATCCCAGAGGGTGTCAGAGAGACAGAAAGACACCAAACCTATGCAAGATCTGGTACTGCCTTGACAAGCTGAAGGAGAATCAGTTACACAGATTCCTGTGTTCAGTATTCCATGTTGAGATTTCTGCATTCAGTACTCCACCTTGATGTCTTTTGATCGTTTCTCCTCCCAATCTGGGAGTCAAACTCAAAGCTTTGCCCATAGCAGGTGAGCACTGCAATCCTGAGCTACACCCTGACCCTTGTTTTGTTGAGACAAGATCTTTTTATGTGGCCATAGCTAGCCTTGAATTCATAATTCTCCTGCCTCTGCCTCTCAAGTGCTAGGATTGTAGGCAGGTGCCACCACACCCAACTTGTGGCTTTTGACAGTGAGGAACTCTGAGCAGGAGACAGATGAATACTGAGAGACGAGAGGAATAACATGTACAGAAACAAGACTTGGGGACACTCACATTCTGTGGGCTGGTGGCCAAGAATACAGGTTACAGGTGATGGTCTGAGACACAGAAGGGATGTTTTGTGAGGTCCTATGCGTGGTACAACTTGAAAATGAGCATCTCTACCCCTTGGCCTTGAGTCAGTCCTGCATCTTGGGAGTATCCTGTGAAGAAGGAGGGACAGTCACTAAGCCATCTGTTTTCTTAGGGAAGAATTCTGTAGGTAAAATGTCACTTGAAAAGACCTAGTAAGAAAGGAGCCAACAACCCTTTGTGCTTTTTCATTCGTCACCAATGTCTTTGGTCAAATATTTTCAAGAGGTTTAGGGGGGCAATAGAGGGAGAAAGAACGAGTAAAAGGTATTTTCAGTGATAGATGGGGACAAATATTAGGTTACACAATCTCAGTAACCCATAAGAAGGAAATTATAATCTCAAGTGATCATGGCTCCCCTGCCAAGCAGCAATGAGCCAAAGGTCTCTATTCAGTGCCTGGGCCACGTCCACCAGAGGAAGGCTACATACAAAGCCCGCTGTTGTATCCAGAGAAGAGCCATCCTGAGTGACCACACATTAGACCTGGGGAGGGCTGGCAGCAGCTAGGAGAGCTGATGGGCCTTCACAGAGCACGATTGTTCTGTGCCTCCTAGGTCCAGCCAAGAGGGGTTTAATTAAATGAAAATAAAGCCATCTCAGTTCACCTGGGGAGGAGGGCGGGGCCAGCCAAGGTTCCGTCTGATACGTCCCAGTTCACAGTGTAGCTCTCTCTAATGACTGGATATTTGTCATTACTTGATTTTTATTTTTTTCTCTGTCCTTATTAGAGTAGGAATTTAATTAAGGTGATTACATTATTAAACAAAATAGAAATAGGTTTCGCACACTAAGCCTTCCATCTTTCCCTTCATAGGGTGTGGCTCCCGTGAGAACCCATCATCTCAGCCCCTCCCACTCCCCAGTCCTGACTTCTCAAGTTAGGGTCTTGAAGTCCTTATCTCAGTCCATTTAGTAGATAATACTTGAGGCTTAAGGGAAGGTTTTGGGGGGTTTGCTTGTTTGTGTGTGTGTGTGTGTGTGTGTGTGTGTGTGTGTGTGTGTGGTTTGCTTTGTTTTTGTCTCTTTCTTTTTTCTTTCTTTTTTTAATCATCTTACCTAAGAAATACATTTGAAAGTCGGGTGTGGTGGAACTTGGGAGGCTGAGGCAGGGGATACAGCTAGCCTTCGAAAACGGTACTGATAAATATGGCTTCTGAATTTTCCGGTCAAGTGATGACACGAATGGGGGTGGGGGCGGCTATTTTCTCGTTACCAAGAAATCAGCAACGAGAGTGTCAGACCCCAGCAGCAGCCATTGCTAGGGACACGAGAAGCTGAACTGGATCAGTCCTGTGGCTCAGTGAAAACTGAAAATAAAAACATGCTGATTTGTTTTTTTATTAAAATCATGAGCTTGAATGGATAATTGAACGGTGGATCCTTTTTCATTCCCAGGTTTTTCTCCGCTTGAATGAAACTCAAGCCTCGGGCACGAGAGATTCTTGTGTATTTCTGCCTCGCCTCCTGCCCTGCCACCAGCTTGGGTGTCTTGCAGTCGCCTGGTGCTGACATTTCACTCAAGTGTGGAGACAGAGGACTATGCAGTGGTGTGGACACTGATGGTCCTGCACTCCCTCAGACTTATGGGGGTTGCTGTTCACTACGGCCCCGGCTTCCACAGGACTACTGCGGGCCTCGCCCTGGCTCCCATCACCTTCCACCATACCCCGTTCTCCCCAGCGCCTGTGCTGACTCAGGTCTAGCTACTGGTTTCTTCCCGTCTCGAATCTCAGCACGGGCTTCCTGGATACCTACTTCCCATGCCTTATCATCAATTCCTGGTTTATTTTTAAAATTTTCTCCCCCACAGTTACTGAACAAAACCCCTTTACACCCTGCCAGGCTCCTGGAACCTCTCCCAACACCATCCACTCCTGTTCTCCACAAGCTGCAGGGGTCCTGGCAGATATTCCCCAAGCTCTGAGCCCAAACACAGGCACCCCTGCCCGCTTCGCTCTCTAGCTAGTGAGTCCCTGGGAGATTGGTGCTTCCCAGGAGGGAATGATCTGGCTTTTCGAGCCCTCTGTAAATGTGTTAGGGTCTTTTCCTCCGCAACGGCCTCCGCCTATTCCTCGGGCGTCTCGGTAGAGGGCGCTCCGGCATCAGCACAATCAGGCACAGGCTGTGACTCTGAACCCCGCATTGCGCAGCAGGTTTCCAGTCTGTACACGCAGTAATCATCCTGGCACGTGCGCATGCGTGCAGTCGTAAGTGCCCATGTTTTGATCTTGATCCGGGTCCACGGTGAAGGACGGCCCAGAGACTCAGCCTTTGCATTTGATACTATTAGCCTCACTAAAGGTAAAGATACTAACCATGCAATTTTGCTACTCTATTAACCAGACTAGATTCACTCGAGATCTACTTTAGTTGGTGACACATATTCCTAAAGCCCTCAAAGGAGAGAAAAGAATCTTATGCGATGCGATTTCAAAGTTACTGCCGAGTTATTCCATCCTGTTTACTTGAAGCAACTGAATCCATCTTTGGGTGGAAAGTCTCGTGGATGGAGACAAGCAGAAATAGCTCCGTGCTTGCAAAACCCATCACAGGCCAGACGTGGAGCTCACTACTCTTTGAGAAATATCTCGGTCTGCTTAATTAAAATGAAAACAGAAGCACAGTAGTCTCCACCCAGTGAGAAACACCAGGAGGACCACCGTCGCTATCAAAGTGGCTATGTGCTCTTTAACACCGGTTTCTTTGCTCAAATCAAAGGTACCATTTATTGGGCACTGTGTGTGCCTAGCACACTGCCAAACACTATCTGTGTGATCTCATTTCCCCAGCAGACGTACCACGGTTAGGTACATTTCAAAGACGGAGGCTCCGTGTTGGTGAGGGAGTAGCTGGAGTCCTTGTCTGTCAACACGGCCCAGGATCTCCACCTTGAGGAATGTTCATAGAAAAAGAGACGGATAGTGGCTCTGGAGGGTCTGGCAGGTGTGGTTGGTAAATAGTATTTTTCCCCCCACAACTCCAGGGCTTTTCAGTTGAAATCCACATTTGAAGGAAATTCCTGGTTGCCTCAACCAAATGACATTTTATGTGTTAGGAGTTAAATTATCAGCTGTAAAATCAACTTATTACCTGGTGAGCAAAATTAGAACGTAGAGGCCCAGCTATTCAAAGATGGTGAGTGGCTGTGTAACGGCTCTCTTCTGGAAGGCACTATTTGTGTCTATTAACCTGCCTTTTTTGTACTGGACAACAGACAGCCCTTAACCGCTGAGTGCCACCATGAAATGCAAAATGCAAGGACTGCAGGCACAAGCAGGAGGCAGTTGGCAGTGATCAAAACAGCAGGAAGAAGGCAGGCACCGAATCCTACCAAAACCACCCTCTGACCCACTCAGAGACAGATGCAAGCGGGGTCAAACTATCTTATGCTGCGGTCATTTGTGAGAGCCAAACTGAGAAATGCCATGCAGGCCCTTCCCAAATGTCTGAGTCCTAGGCTATGCATTAGAGTCCCATGGAGGCCAGTCACTTGTCTGTGACAGAGAAGAAAGAGCAAGAGAGAGAGTGTGTAGGGTGTGCCTACAAGAGTCGAGAAAATTCCCCCCCAGAATACAAATCCTACCTTCCCAGTAACAGACATGACACAAATAAAGTGGATTGATAGCCTTTTAAATTTTTAAAACTTACATTTAGAGTGGTGTGTGTGTGTGTGTGTGTGTGTGTGTGTGTGTGTGTGTGTGTGTGCTCCTGTACACATGGAGGTTGGAGGACAACTGTAAGGGGTCTTTTCGCTCCTTCCACGAAGGACCCAGAGATGGAACTCAGGCTGTCACACTTACCAGCAGTCACTCACTGAGCCGTTCTCACTGTCCCTCAATTCATTTCTTTTTGCTTACCTGCCTTTTTTTGGATCCCTGTGGGAATCACTTTTTAGGCTGTCAATCAAGTTCTGTTCTTGGAAAGAAGTACTGGATTTGAGGCCGACCAGGCAGGCCAAAGAGACGTGTGTTCTGAGCTTTTATCAAACTTACTGAATAACTCCTTTTTCCTTCTAGATTCTAAATGAAACAGTGGGAGGCCATAAGAATTAAAAGAACCATCACAGAGGGAAACTGGGGGTGGGTGGAGAAGATTTGGTCTAGTGTCTACTCATGAGCTCCTGGATCCAGCCCTGCCAGAAGAGAGAACCTTCATTCTAAATTTTTTCCTCTTAGCAGAGAATATATTAATATATTTGCCCTTTTGCCAGTTATATTTGAGACAAATTGTTGTGCGCCTGTCAGAGGAGGGCATCCCAGAACCAGTGCAACATTGGTTCTTAGGCGGGGTATCTGCAACTGAGGTCTCCCTTAGCAGGTCCCAGCACTCGGACCTAGATTTCTCCCAGTAGCAAAGAGGATGGGTAATCTGCATGGACCACGTGTGTGTGCGTGTGTGCTTGGGTGTGTATAATTTTTTAATTCACAAATGATGAATAATATTTTTATTTTCTTTCCCTGGTCTGTATTTGCTACGTTGTCTGTCACAGAAGCCAGACCTACAGAAATGTGACTACCTGACCCTTGGCCGGCTATCTCAAGTTCTCAGCATCATCAAATCTCTGTGTCACTCATAATCACTCCCCAGTTCCCTCTACTTCCAGAAATAATATGTGTCTGTTACATGTTTACAAGGTAGAATAAAGCCAGTGAATGGACAGTCAGGAAATGGAACCCAGATAATGTGTTTGTGACACATCACACCATCAGCTCCAAGCTACAGACACAGGTTTACAATCAAGGGTTGTCTAGAGTCCAGGTTTTCCTGGAGCCTAGTCAGGTGATCTGAATCTCCGCCCCCTCCCCCATTCCCTGCCCGCCACTCCACACCTCTCCCGTGGTCTGAAGGTAGCTAGCTCTTAAGGTGGAATGACAAAGAGTGCCTTCTCAAGACTAACCTTATCTGGGATGTCAGCAGAGTCGGGGGTTGGGGTTATAAACCAGGTGACAGGGGAAAGAATTGTCAGGAGGTGTCTAAGCAAGTGGGTGGTCCCCCGGGTGCCCCTTGAAGTTAGGGCAGAAAAGGGAGCTTGTGTATCCAGAAGGACTAGGACTCAGGACACAGAAAGGGCACCAAGGTGCGTGAGACCACGAGGTGGGAATGAGATCCGGGTGGCAGGCTGCAGGCTCAGGGAGGTCAGCCCCTCCCCTCCTCCCTCTCGCGCGGGTGCCGCAGTCTCACCGCCCTAGCCCTCTGCAGACGTTGCCCTTGCCCGGCCAGCTGCGGGTTCGGCCCGGGGCGGGGGTTCCGGAGCCCGGAGCTATTTTTAAAAGACGCGTCACCGGGTTGGGGAGGAAGAGCCGGCTCCCAGGCTCATAGTCTGGGCGCGGCCAGTGGGAAGGGTCGCCTGAGCGAGTTTCGAACGACCGGAGCGCGCGAAAAGGCGGTACCGGCCGAGAAGACCCCGCCTGACCCCGGGAGACCGTGGGGCGTGTCGGGGAAGGGGCGTGGCTGGTGGGCGGGTCCAAAGGGGCGGGGCCGGCGCCCTCTGGCCGCGGCAGGCTGGTGGCGGCAGCAGCGGCAGCGCGGGTACTGCAGGGACAGCAAGGTAGCAACGCCGACTGGAGACACCCGGGGAAGCCCGCGCCCCGCTTGCGCCTCCGCGGCGCGCCGGGGAAGCCGGAGCCAGAGCGCAGATCCAGCCGGGCGAGAGCGCAGGGCGCCGGCATCCTCCACCGCTGCGTCTGTCCGTGGCGGCTGCGCGGGAGACAAAGCCTCGGGAGAAAGATGCCCGCGGGACTCGCACCGGGTGGGCCAGGGAGCGGGCGCCTCCGAGTCTAAGTGCGCCCAGCTGTCCGTACGTTCCGGGGACGCCGAGGCCCCAGCGGGTCCAGTGGCAGGCGGGGCCCAGGTGCGCCCGATCGCAGAGGGCCTGTGACTGCTCGGGGGGCGGCGCCCTCCCGCCGCAGCCGCAGTGGCCGGCGCCGCAGCGAGGAGCCATGGGCAACATCTCCTCTAACATCTCGGCCTTCCAGTCCCTGCACATCGTTATGTTGGGCTTGGACTCTGCCGGCAAGACCACGGTGCTCTACCGGCTCAAGTTCAACGAGTTCGTGAACACGGTGCCCACCATCGGCTTCAATACCGAGAAGATCAAACTGAGCAACGGCACCGCCAAGGGCATCAGCTGCCACTTCTGGGACGTGGGCGGCCAGGAGAAGCTACGGCCGCTGTGGAAGTCCTACAGCCGCTGCACGGACGGCATCATCTACGTGGTGGATTCGGTGGACGTGGACCGGCTGGAGGAAGCCAAGACGGAGCTGCACAAGGTGACCAAGTTTGCGGAGAACCAGGGCACGCCGCTGCTGGTCATCGCTAACAAGCAGGACCTGCCCAAGTCGCTGCCGGTGGCCGAGATTGAGAAGCAGCTGGCGCTGCACGAGCTCATCCCGGCCACCACCTACCATGTACAGCCGGCGTGCGCCATCATCGGCGAGGGCCTCACCGAAGGCATGGACAAGCTGTATGAGATGATCCTGAAACGCAGGAAGTCTCTCAAGCAGAAGAAGAAGCGGTAATGCGTCCGGGCAGCGATTGGGAACGAGGCTGAGCGAGAGAGCCACTGAGTGAATGAATGGACGTCTGGGTGAGCGAGAACCCGCGCCCGCGAACAAAGACAACGAACCAAAGCGATGCTTCGAATTTTTAAAACACGATCTCTGTGTCCTAATGCAAGACTTGGAGACTTAACCCGGGTGTGGAGGCTGCATTACCACCTTGCTCGCCACCTGCCCCACCCCCCACCCCAGCTCAGGGGACCTTTTGTCTAAATGCTTGAGCTACCGATGGGGTGGGGTGGGGGGAACCGGCGGGGAGTGGACGTGAGGACGCGAGGGTCCGGTGGTGAGCCCTCTGGCCCCAGGTGGGAAGCTTGGATGTCAGAGAGACAAAAGAGATTTCTTCTTGCTCCATCAGGGCCAGAAGTTCAGGCTGCCCAGCCCCCACTGCGGGGGGAAATCACGTGTGAGTTACCTGAGGTATGCAGTTCACAGAACTCTGGGGATACCCCCGTGGGAGCGGGTAGGCACTGGGGTGTACTGATGGGGGTTGGGGGAGGTGACCGCTCCTTGCATTCTGGAGCTGTGCGAACTGAATCGTTTTATGTCGCAGGGCAGGCCCCTGTTTGCAGTTTCATTTGTCCTGCTCTGGGCCCAAAGGAGGTGGTGGCGTGGGTCCGTCCGGTGGACTGCCTGGGACCATGCGGCAGCCGGAGGCCCAGGGTGCTGCTGCGCTTCTGGCCTTGGCTGGGAATGGCCTGGAAGACGCCACTATCCAGGGGTGGGTGTGTGTGGTTTTGTTGAGAACTGCTGTTCAGCCTGGGATGAGACCTTTTCCAGATGGCCTAGGCCCTGTCAGTGTGTTGGTCACTATCACATAAAGAGACCAATAAAACAAAGAAAAACAGAAAACCATTGGAGGTGGTGGTGCCAGTACAGGTGTTCAAAGGGCGAGGTTCTTGACATTAATGAGCTCTGTGTGTGCGTGTGTGTGTGCGTGTGTGTGTGTGTGTGCCCTCCATACTGCATAATCGGCATAAATACTGGACCCTCTGTGTGGAATTTGAAATTCTCTCAGCCTACTGATTGGTTTGGAGGAGCACACCAGCTACAGATGTGTGCTGAATTGCAAAATGGTTTTCTTAGAAGGGACGTCTGATCATTCTAACCACGTGGTGATTAGGTTTCAGACATTTTTTTAACCAAACAAACAAAAAAAAACACTTCCACAAATGAATATCTTCACCTTAGTTAAAAAAAGACTTTGTCCTTTTGTGCTCCTTGGTACTACAAGTGGAGACATGTTCAGATTTCTGAGTTGGGTCTTTGCAGCCCATCTGATTTCAGTATTCTACTCAAAGTGTGTCTTTAGAGTATTTGATGTCATTCACCAAAAGAATAAAACCCCACCTTGGAAACGCTGACCTCGTTTGCATGGATTTGAAGAGAGGACGGTCTGAAGGATGGAGTCCTTTGGAATTCACCCTTGTGGGAGCTGACCTGGCCTCCGAGCCAGCCAGCACTTTGGTTAAACGCAGACAACAGTGAGTGCTTGAGATGAAAAGGGAGCAGGTGTGTGACGTCATGGTCATTGGTACTCAGGCACTTCACAGTTTACTTGAAAGAGGCTTTGGAAAATAGATAAAGTGAAAGAATAAATACATATTTTTAATAATGTAATTTTAAAAATCCTTTATAACCAGGAGTGAGTCTTGGCTTGATAAAAGCTGCCATTTGTCCTGAAACACAGTATCAAAAGAGAAATTTACAACGACCAGGTTTTGTTGTTTTTTCTTTTTAAATCTCCCCTCTGAATCCATCTTTTAGGGTAGGAGTTTGGTTTCCCTCCATGACAACACGTTGCTGTGCAAAGGAGGCCATCCATGGTCGTGAGTGAGCACGGAGTTGGTCACAGTATGACCCCATCCCTGTTGTCCTTGACACACTAAGAGTCAACTTAGGAACCATAGGCAGAAATCATGGCTTCCTGCTTGAAACCTGATCCTTAGATTGTTTTAAAGCCGAAATATAGCAGCCCATGCTCCTTCCTTGTGTGTTCTGTAGCCCTCCGATGCTGGTCTTTTTGTAGACAGTAGAGCTAAGCAGTGGTGAGCAGCCTCCAAGATCTGTTTACACAGCAATGGGGCATTACTGGCTTCTTCATGGGCTGGTCCCATGGTCTGAAGATTCTGTATAGAATTATTAAAAAAAAATCCACCTTCTTTTATTTTCTTCACAATTTCTTAAGCACTTTGACATTTTGGTAGTTCCACAATATGGAGAGAATAATATATTTATTTTGTGACATTGCCTATGCCAAATACTGTAACCTTCCTGTGCTCACAATAGCTGAGTTCCGGGTCAGTGTTCAAGTCCTGACCTGCTTGAACGATGGTGTGGGATGGTTTTGTGGTGTTTCTCCCCTGCCCCCGCCCCCCATTATCAATACTTAAGGGTGCATTTGACTGTTAGTAGTTGTGCAGTAAAGTCAAGCCCTGTGGTGTATCAGCAAATAGTAAAGAGTCTCAGTTGATTTCTGTAATGTTTGACCTAATAAAAGCCCATTTCATTTGTGACAAGAGGGAGCCCAGTGAAAATCACTGTGTGGTGGTGCCATGGGGAGTTCCCATCATGTGCCAGCAAGGACGAGTGGTGTGTCTGTCCTTTGGGTTCCTGGAGAGGAATTTGGCCTCCCCAAGCAAGTTTTGGAATGGTTTCTACAGACAACAGGGAGGCCAGTTATGATTTAGAGCTGTTCTCTTCATACTCTGTGACGTGTTGGGACTGAGTCCCCTGGCTTCCATTTTTTGGTTTTCTTGTAATGTTCTGTCCTCACCACTCTCTTCTTTGTTCCCGCCCCCTTTTATAATGCATATATGATGCTGTGAACAGAAATAAACTATTTATACAATCAAACCTGTGGGGGCATTTTGTGTGTGTGTGTGTGTGTTTTTTTTTTCAGATTTCTTGGTTCATTTTCCAAGCCTGCAGAGCCAGGGAGTGGAGCACAAGATGGCATTGGAGTTCTGGTGGGGTCCAGTGGCTTCTAGAGCTGCAGTTGGTGTGGGCTGTGCTGAGGTCTCAGTCCACCCTGATTGGTGACTGCCAGAGACTCAACCACTCATGCCTGTGTGTTGGGCCATCTCCCTCCCTCCGTGTCTTGCCTGTTAGTTATTTAAATGGTCCAGAATTGTAAAACACTCCGAAACTGTCTGATTGTCCACTTCTCGGGAGCCTTGAACTACTGGGATAGCACAGTAAGTACATGAAGCTGCTCCTTGGCGGCTGGTCCTGCCCACCTCTCCTCTGAGCGCATCTACAGAGCCCTGAGATCTGAGGTCTCTCCAGTGGTGTGCTGCATACAGCAAGACCATGCTCTATAGATGTTGCTGAGAATCAGCCGCTCCCTTTGAGAAGAACGAGTACTGGGGTGGCAACGCGAGCTTTGGCAGGTGCGATGGGGAACACAGAAGTGCCCTTTGTAGGTATCTGGCTACAACTTAATAGCTATGAAGGTGGCATGGGTAGGCTTTCAGAATTTGAACTCTGGAATGAGAAAGGATCCAGTCCCAAGGTTGAGAATTCAGCTCAATTGGGTGCTTAGGGAGCATGCATGAATGAAGTCCTGGGTTTGGTCCCCAGCAACATTTAAATCAAGTGTGATACCATAATCCCAGCACGTGGGATATTGAGGTAGGAGGATCCAAAGTTTGAGGTCATCCTCTGCTACGTACTGGGTTTGAAACCAGCCTGAGCTACATGATACTAAAAAGTAATAAGGTTCCTGAGGACCCCAAGGTTTGGTTTGAGCTCACTGACACCCCTAACCCTCAGTTTCCCCATATGTAAAACAAGATAATGAAACCTTAAAGAGTTGTTGGGAAGGTAAACAGGCAATATAACTAAAGTGCGAACCCACTTTTTGTTCTGAACAAGTGCTCAGTGCTTTAGGGTTCTGTTTTGTTTGTTTTGCTTTTGGTGTGTGTGTGTGTGTGTGTGTTTAAGTGTGTAGTATGCACCTGTGTGTGAGCAGGTACATACACACGTGTGCTCAGAAGACGATGTCACACATCCTGTTCTATCACGCTTCACTTTATTCCCTTGAATTTCAAGCACATTCAGCCACCCTGGGCTTTTTACATGAGTTGTGGAGGTTTGAACTCATGTTGATGCTTGCACACCAAGCACTCTCATTCACTGAGCCACCTCGCCAGCCCCAGGGCTTTTAGTTTCTAATCTTGTTGACTGCAAACAATATGCAGAGTGCAATTAACTCCATCAGATTGCTGGCCTTCCTATCACCATGTTGGCATCTATTGCCTCCATCCCTCTGTCATTCTTGACCAACCAATACCAAGGCTGCAGGCTCCAGACAGCATAGAATAAAGTCAAGCAGCTGAGCATCTCCAGCCATCCCAGTGGTGTGTCACTCAAAGCTGGGAAAGGCTGCATTGGATGCAATCTGGTGGTTTCTGGCTATCCAGTTCTTACTTTGAGCACACCCTGTACTGCTGGGCTGTCAGTCCCTCCTGGCTGTGGGTAGATTTTTTTGATTGTTGGTCTCTAGTGTGAAGCTGAGGACTTGGGAGGTATTCCCTAGATATTAGCCAGGTGACTTCACTCACATGAACTCATTTTGGTTATAAATGTTCAAATGGGCATCACATAAAGCTATTGTTTCCCATTAGATAGGTAAGTTAAGATGAAAGTAGACAAAATATCGATAGCATTCTTCCAAGTCACTATCTTGAGAAGACTTTACAGAGGTGGTTGGGATTGGGGTGTGTGAAATGTACGCATTGATGAGCCTTTTTGTCTCATTCAGAAAGGAAAAAAAAGATCACAATTTTATCAACCTCATCCCTACAGAAATTAGTTGTTCGAAGCTGGGTTACCCCAGGAACCAAAAAATGCTATTTTTAAGTGTCAAAACCTACAAAATAGTTGAAAACTGACTTGGGTTGTTTTGGCACCATAAGAATAAAAATAATGGAAGTCAAAATAAGCAAAGGTTGAAACCTTTCATTTACAGTGCAACCTTAAGTTAATCTTGCTGGGGTGGATTCTTGAGGAGTGCAGTCACCTGTGACACTTAGCTGATAACTGTCCACCCTGTGTTTTCCAGAAGAGAGACCACGGATGTCCCGTCTCTGACCTCAAACAACTGGGTTGATGATTTGAGCACTGAGCTCCTGTTATCTCCTACCTGGACTTTCCTGTCAATGTTAGAATCCTTGCTTCCAAAGTGGTTTTGTTTTTTGCTAGATAATGGACATCTAATCTTCTGCTTTGTGCCTTTATGTTTGTCTCCAGGGCTTGAGTTCTTTATTTGTTTGTGTTTGAGAGAAGATTTCTCTACATAGCCTAGGCTGGCCTTGAACTCAGAGCTGCACCTGTCTCTGCCTCCTGAGTGCTGGCACTACACCTAGTGAAGGACTTGAGGCTTTGAACAATTCTGTTAGCAACATTACAGACTATCTCTGTGTCATCATTGTGGTAGCAGAGAAGGACAAAAGTATGCACCAAGAACGGAAGACATGGGCT